TCGACCCGACCACGGGAACTTGGAGCGGAGATGGAAATGAAGATGGAGGAAAGGGAGATGGAGGAAAGGGAGATGGAGGAAAGGGAGATGGAGGAAATGATGGAGGAACAGATGGAGGAGATGGAGATGGAGGCAATGATGGAGGAAAGGGAGATGGAAGAAATGATGGAGGAGATGAAGAGCGCGGCCCAGGCGATGGAGCTGGAGGTGACGGGGTGGCTGGAGTTGGAAAAGGAAAAGGAAGAGGGAGAGGAGGATGGTGGTGGAGAAGTCATGGACGTGGAAAGGGACGTGGTGGAGGAGGAGGAGGAGATGGAGGCAGGGAAGGATGGGGTGGAGGAGGAGGAAGATGGGGACGTGGAGGCAGGGAAGGATGGGTTGGAGGAGGAGGAAGATGGCGTGGCGGCAGGGAAGGATGGGGAGGAGGATCAGGTGGAAGTGGTGGCAGGGAAGGATGGGGAGGAGGAGGAGGAGGTGGATCAGATGGATCAGGTGGCAGGGAAGGATGGGGAGGAGGAGGAGGATCATCAGGTGGAAGCAGCGGCAGGGAAGGATGGGGAGGAGGAAGGAGGAGGAGGTGGATCAGGTGGATCAGGCGGCAGGGAAGGATGGGGAGGAGGAGGAGGAAAGGCTGGCAAGGCTAAAGCCAAAGCTGCTAGCCGCGGAGGCCACTACGTGGCGGGAGGATTTGTCGACGAGCAGGGGGTGTTCCGTGAGCATCTTGTCATTGGACATTGCATGCATTTGTCATACGACATTCATGACAGTACATGCATATAGCAATTTTTTGAACTCTGAGGTATGGACATGGCCGTAACCGCCCACGCAGACGCGGCGGCCAAAACTTTCAGGCCCAACAGGCCCTCATGGTACCTCGACTATATATAGGGTGTGGCAGGTGGCCGTGTGGGCCTCGCCTGGCAGGGCAAATTGCCCGCCGTCATTTGACATTGCATGTCAACCCCTTTTCAGTGTAGAAATAATATAGATTCTAGATTCTATATTATTTTGGGTCTAAACTAGCCCAAAATAATATATAATATAGATTCTATATTAAATCCCAAAATAATATAGATTTATTCAGGGCCTAGACAAGCCCAAAATAATATAGATTCTATATTAAATCCCAAAATAATATAGATTCTATATTATTTTGGGTCTGGGCTAGCCCAAAATAATATAGATTCTATATTAAATTGGGTCGGGGCTAACCCAAAATAATATAGATTCTATATATATATATATATATTAAATTGGGTCTGAACTAGCTTGAAGTAATATGCTTTCATGTTTTATATTTTCAAACGTAATACAAACATGAATTATTTCTGCCCTGCAGTGGTCCAACATCCATGTTCGTTGAGGCCGGTGTCGAACCCCCATAGGACTGTTTTTCATTCAAATTGTTTTGGGGTGGGATTGGATGAGTTCGAAATTCAATCATTTTTTCACGATCACATGATGGGCCGCTGGTGTTTTGAGTTTTGAACAAAGACTCTTCCTGCTGGCACGCTGTCATGGATAAGAGTAAGTTGCAAGAATTCAGAATTCAGTATGGGATACTTATACAAGAAAACAACACTTTTGCCACCTGATTTGATGGTTTCCCCAAGTACATATTCGTCATCATGAATCCTGATGCTCAATTTGTTTGCTATTTTTTTGCTGTTGGTGCAGGATTTGGACATTGTATGTTTGTCAATTTCTGGCATGGCATAATTCAACATTTTCTCAAGTACACCGATTATATAAATATCTGCAAGTATCCAAAGAAAATAAGAGTGTGTTTTTGGAAAGCTTGACAAAGTCAACACTTTCCACTGCAAAAGCATGTGCATGAAATAATCGTCATGCATGTCAGCCTGTGCAGAACGCATCCCATAACACATGCTGCTTTTGGGTGGTCGATATTTCTCTTGCAAATGCATGTGCATATTTCTTGGCACTGCTTCCCTACTACCTGCAAAGTGACAAGCATCTGATGTGCATGGTGTGGCATGAATGGTTGTCCTAGTATGGCGTGCTGGCAGGATTGAGATTCAAAACAACCAATTGCCAGCATCCCGACTCTTTTGTTAGTACCATGGCGTCCTCAAAGATGTCCAAGGGTGGCTCCAACCGCTTGGCTGGTCGCTATGAATGGAGAGAGGCTTGGGTGGAGGATTGTTCTCATGGTGGGAACGATCTCTTCTTGGGGCATGGCTTTCACATGCTTGGCCCAGGTGCCAGTCAAAAGGTACACAATGCAATCTCACATGAAGACAGGTCCAAGATCAAAATGACTATCTGTGGTGGGCTGACAACCATTACTGTTCGATTGGAGACAATCACCGAGCTTGGAGCTATCTTCATCCGTGACACAATTCCTGAAGTGCGCTACTTGGTCAGGAAGTACAATGTAGACAAAGATGAGGACAATGAGAATGGCAAGACTGGCGCTACTTTGAAAAGAAACAGTGCCAACCCCAAGGTCCGTGTCAAGGCAAGGACTGTGGGCAAGACTGTGCTGAATAAGAAGCCAGCACGCAATAAGTCGTGAGCTCAATTGAGTTGGTGCTTCCCCAAGTTGTCATGGGTGGTTTTTTGATTTGTGACAGAGGCAGGGCACTGACCCGCCAGCAGGGCTTTTGCCCGCTTGTGATCGCATGGAAATTTCACGGGCTGCTGTTAAAAAAGGCCCTGTGACTGCGAGCTTGCTGTTGAGCAGCCCTGCAACTTCACCCAACCTATACCTGGTAAAGCATTTGCTTCTGATTAGACTTTGAATTAGATGTAGCACATGGCATCTGCAATTTGCAGAGAGTTAACATCACCTTATTTCATGAGAACTGTAACAACAACAGAAGATGTCGATGATTGTACCAAAGGCATCAAACTTCAGTGAGAGCAAGATGAATATTTGCTCACGCAGTCCACATTTTGGCATGATCTTTGGATGACTGCCTGTGGCAGCATGCTTTCTGAAACCAGCTGCTGTTTTGACCAAGGGACATTTTGGGTGTTTCACAAACTTGCGTTTCAACATGGAGAAAATCCAGCGTGCTTTGAATGCCACGCTGCAATTCTTGCAGAAAAGCGACAAGTTGGATGCCAAGGCCTATGCTGAAATCGAAGCAAGCCAAGTAGCATCGCTGATCAGAAGACTCAACGATGTGAAACTCGAGATTGATGACGCTGCAGCTTTGACTGAAACCATTCAGTCTTCAGCCCTTATGGATGGCAACAAGTCATGCCTGACCAGAGCCATCAGCAGCAGCCTTTGCAAAGAGGAGCTGCCGGGCGGTAAATCAAGGCAGACACTGCTGTCAGGTTTTCTCAATTACCTCACTGCCGAAGACAGAGAAGCTTTGCAGAATGAGGAGCAGCATGCATTCACGCGAGCAACCTGTGCTGTGAAGCGATGCATCAAGCTTGAGGTGGCAACTCTTGTGCAAAAGTTCGAAATGGCCTCGACAGCTGATGAGTGCAACGCCCTCTTGAGAGAGTACAAGCGTTGTCTCAAGAGCTCAAGGGCTGGGCTGCAACCTTCAGTGCCTGAGTTCCCTGCTGACCCGAGATCGCTTCCACCAGGAGTGCTGGAGCAGGCTTATGATGGCCAAGAAGCTGAAGTCCTGTTGCCATCTGTGTTGGCTGCCCATCAGCCAGGCAAGTGGATGAGAGCCCCAGCAAGGAGCTGACAATGGGTGACAAGAAAGCTTCGAGCAAGAACCCTACTGACTTCTTCTCAATGATGCAGAGCATGCAAGGCATGCAGGCAAACATGAAGAACTGGCAACGCATGCAGCAGATGATGATGCAGGTGAACAATGATGATCAGGATCAGCCTTTGAGCAACCTGGTGGTTTTTCCAAACAAGAAACGAAAGTCTTTGGAATCTACAGCATCACCTGCGGCCAGTGCTGGGCAGGGCGCTGCGCTCGCCCTGCAGGACCAGGAGGTCCGCAAAGAAGTTCAATCACCTGATGTGCCTGCTCCTTTTCAAGTTCCTGCAGCTCAACCCCTTTTGGCTGCTGCACCTGCAGATGCTGCGCAGGAAGTCGACGATCATGCCTTGGAAATGAAGAAAGCCTTTGAGAAACGCGCGGCCATGAAGAAGCCAGCCTGTGCTCCAAAGGCCACACCCAAGGCAACAGTCAAGAGTGCTGCAAAGGCCAAACCCAAGGCCACACCCAAGGCAACAGTCAATAATGCTGCAAAGGCCAAACCCAAGGCCGGTGGCAAGACTGTTGCAAAGGCCACACTCAAGGGAGCTTCCAAGAGACCCAGCATGATCCCCAAAGGTGGCCCAACATGCTACTATTTGACGGGCAAGATCCATCGCAGTGACACCAGCACCTGCTGGAGAGTTTTCAGACATTCTTCAGGTAGGTGCGACCTGAAGGTGAACTGGAAAGGGTCACCATCCACTGCCTGGGATCGAGCCTGCAGCGTCATCGAAGAAGCTGCTGGCAAAGGAGGTGCGAAGTGAGGCTGGCACATGAAGCGGCTGTATATTTTCCAATTGGGAATCTAATCCTTTCTGGGTCCATGCCGTGTGCTGGTGGCGTTACATTTTTTTCATGATCATGCGTCCAAAGGTGGCTTCATGTGAAAACAGTTTTGTTTATCGTTGTATACATGTATATATATATATATATATATATACACACTCCTTAAGTTATGTGCATATACATATTGGTGGGTTTATTCCTTTACATGATGTCCGCCCCAGTGCATGGATATCTAGGAGCGTATTTTGGCATGCAGGGGCGGAGTGTGCAGGGGCGGCATTGCAACCCATCCAACACTTGTGGTATGCTCTTTTGGTGTGAAACGTTTTTTGTATGTACAATGCCGTGGGATGCACGCAATCTCGATCTGCACGATGGCTTGTCCGCAGTGTTGTGCCGACTCTCGTGGATGTGATGTCAAAAAAGGCTGCCTGCTTGCATCAGGGGTGCTGTGCAAATCTTATTCAGTATATCAAATCAAGAGTTTGGTACCAAGAATATACAACTGTATATAGCACTTCTGTTGGTTGTTTGCTCTGCAGTTCATGGCTGATTGCCAGCATGTTCAGGCGGGATCCATTTGCTGCCTGCATGGCCCTTGTAAAGCAGCAGTTTCATTCACATCACCAAGAAATAAGAGAAACCTATATGTTTTATTTATTCGCAACCTATATACACAAACTATTATTGATATGCAAAGGATTTTGCAAAGAAACATGTAAAACATATTCTGTATATAGTCCCGGCATGCAGCACAAAGCTAACAAGAAAAGTAAAAATATGTTTGTTATGGGGTGATGTTTTTAATAGTAATCATCTGAAATTGATACACTCGGATTGTGAAGGAACGTGATGACAAGCTGGGTCCAAACTAAAAATCAATTCTTTCAAAACAAAAAGGAACAACACATGAAGGGACATACAGGTTAAGCAGAGAAACAGGATGGCAACAGCGCTGCTATACTTGTATAATTTTCATCAAGTTTTTCAAGGGAAGCTAGCAGGGCATAAGAGCTCGCTGGCAGGGACACCAAGCCCGCCATTTTCTGTCATTTGCGCCATGTCGGCAAACCTTGCCAGCTTTGGGCGCCGCAAGTTTGTCAGCACAAGAGCTTTAGCTGAAATCTTGCAAGAGGTGAAGAGGTCTGGTTTGCCAAAGGCAGCATCCAAGGACAGCATCAAGAGGGCTAGGGAAAAGGATGTGGCTGACATGGCCAACGGATGTGGCACTTTGGTTACCTATCTTGAGTTTGAGCGTGAAGACCCAAAGCGAAAACCCATTGGCACAGTGCAGCTTCCCTTCGTGAATCCACTGGCTTTCCTCCAGTACATTGTGGGTAATGCTGAGTCGTATGCTCGATACTTTTCAAAGTATCTCGATGGAGCGGGTGAATCGCCACATGATCCACTGGAGAAACTTAGACTCAAAGGTTGAAGTTTCTATTTTGTTTTTCGTACAACCATATGTGAGTATATGTATATATATTTATAAATATCATCACTAAACAACGTGTGTATACGCAGCACACAAGGCTTCTCATCTACAATGATGAGATTCAGCCGGGCAACCAACTCCGACACGATGCAACGAGAAAAGTGCAAATTACTATATTTATTGGGCAATCAAGAAGGGCCCAGGCCTGGGGATTGACCAGCTCTGGTTTACCCTGGGTTTAGCCGCAGCCCGCTCCAACATTGTGTCGCATATCAAAGGAGGAACGTCGGCATATACCAGAAAGGCCATGAGCCTCTTTGTGGAGCCTATCAATGCCCTGCGTGGTTTCCATCTTCATGTGGGTGGCAATACCGTTGTCAAATTTTTCCGTTTTGCAATTTTCATTGCTGACGAAGTAGCTCTGAAAGACTCCTTTGGATTCAAAGGTGCATCAGGTGTTCAGATTTGCCCATTGTGTACCAACATTGTTGCTGAGTCCAGCAATTTGCATCAGTTCAGCTCAACGTTGCAGCCCAGCACATCCGTGAACCCAGCTGTTTGGCAACGATGCAGTGATGCTTCCATGTTTGCTAAAATAGCCAAATTGCACCAGTCGTTTGGAACTATCTCCAAGGGCGCCTTTGAGGAGCTTGAGAAGTCACTTGGGTGGCTCTATATACCGAGTGGCCTCATGGGGGATGGCATGTCAAATCCTTTGGAGCTGACACCAGCATACATGATTTTCTACGATTACATGCATACCCTTTTTGTCAATGGGGTGTGCAATGTGGAAGTCGGTGGGCTCATGGGGCATTTGAAATCAGTTGGCATCCTGCAGGGTGAGCTCCATGAGTTTTTGAACAGCTTGACTTGGCCATCTTCAGTGGCTTCGAAATCAATAACTGGCCAAATGGTTTTCAGGAAAAAACAAGAGGGAAACCTCAAATGCTCAGCATCAGAGTGTTTGGGGATTTACATGGGCATCCGTACATTCCTCCTGATCAAGATGCCCCAGCTACAAGACATCCTGCAGGTGGTTGGTAGCTATGTGGCATTAGCAGAGTTGATTGATGTCCTTCAAGCTGTGAGACGGGGCAAAAGGAAGGCGACTGATTTGGCCCATTCCATCACTCACAGTATACGTCCATGCCCACCAACAGGCTTACTCCAACACTTTGTGGGTTCCAAAGTTTCATTACCTCCAACATATTTCTGGGATGATTTCCCATCACGAGGTCGTGGTGGGATGCTCTGTGCATGAAAGGAAGCATCGTGTGGCAAAAAAGTTTGCAGAAAACATCAGGGGAGTTGGTGAAAATTTTGAATCTTCGATTTTGAAAGAAGTCCTTTACATGAACGTGCAGGATCTTAGCGACAAAGATTTTGACCAATTGCACGTTGGCTTGGTCCAACCAATCCCTGCCAATCCAAGACTGACCTGGCTTTTGCAGAGTGCCATGGGACTTCATGGCATGGTCATGTGCGCGCGTCGGGCTCACTATGAGCTGGGCTGTATCTGTGCTGTCGACGACTTTGTGATCTTCCCTTCTGAAGAGGGCATCCTTGTACGTAAAGTTTGTTTCTTTGCCAGCATCAATCATATGAATCTGGCTTGCGTCCAAATTTGGGATGCCAAAGGTGGCAATGAGTTTGTTTGAAAAGACTGACAAGGATATCCTTCTTGATTTGGAAGGTATCGAAGACTGTCTCACCTACAAAGAGCTATCGCCAATCAGGATCTTAGCGGTGCCTAGTTCCTTGTGGGGATAATGCCCATGGCAAGTCCACATTTTTTGAAATATATATAGCAGTCTGTTTAGTGAGGTATGACATTTTTTTCCCATGTCGTGTTGCCAGGCAAATCTTGCGCCCGTCGTGCAAGGCTAATGTCGAATATATGCATGTGGCGTCAGGACTTGGCCCAGAAGAAAGACACTGCTGCAGCCATGGCTTGTGATAGCACGCATTCAATTTCGAAGAGTCCCTTTTCTGTGCTTGAGAAGAGCATATTTTTTTGAGTATAAACACACACACACACATACATATATTGCAGTGCGTGTGAGAAAAACATGCCATTTCCATTAGCCCACCATCCTTTGCAAAAAAAAGGGGGAATCACCTCCCACTTCTGCTTTTGCAAAGCCACCGCGGAGATTTCCTAAATCTCATCTTGAAAATGCGTGGCCCACGCAGGTCTTTAACATCTTCAACGTGGACAGCTGCAGAGTTTGCAGCGAGGGAATGGCAAATCATGTTGACAAATCAAAGTTACAGGAATATTGAAATTGATTTTTTGCTAAAGATTTTGCCGGATGTTGCCTTCGCTGCGTGCCAACTACGAAATGATTATAGACTTCGCATTTTTTGGGATGAGAAGGCTCGCTAAATACATATCACTAAGTAGCTTTGTCACATATATACATTTGTTTCAACATCATTTTTTACCCCAAAGTAGTTCCTAAAGTAAAGAATTTTTAAGGTCCATCAGTCAAAAACATAAAAGGACCGGATAACCCCACAAGTCAACTTCTTCCAATAATGAGCCAGAAATGTTGTAGCGGGGACGGGGAAGGAAGGAAAGACAAAGGAGGAGGTGGAGGAAAGATGGTGTGTGACAAAGCTGCGTGTGAAAGATGATGTGTGTGAAAGATGGTGTGCGAAAGATGGTGTGTGACAAAGCTGTGTGTGAAAGATGGTGTGTGAAAGATGGTGTGTGACAAAGTTGTGTGTGAAAGATTGTGTGTGACAAAGTGGTGTGTGAAAGATGGTGTGTCAGAGATGGTGGGTCACAAACTTGTGTGTGTGAAAGGTGGTGTGTAAAAGATGGTGTGTCAAAGAGGGTGTGTGAAAGATGGTGTGAGAAGTGGAGCTGTGATGGGTTGTGATGTGATAAGTGAGGTGTGAGAAGTGAGGTGTGAGAAGTGGAGCTGTGATGAGTGAGTGTGTGAGAAGTGAGGTGAGGTGTGAGAAGCGGAGCTGTGATGAGTTGTGATGTGATAAGTGAGGTGTGAGAAGTGGTGTGAGAAGTGGAGCTGTGACTGATGAGTTGGGATGTGATAAGTTGTGATGAGAAGTTGTGATGTGATAAGTGGGGTGTGAGAAGTGAAGCTGTGATGGCTTGTGATGATGAGTGGAGCTGTGATGAGTGGTGATGAGTTGTGATGAGAAGTGGACCTGTGAGAAGTGATGAGAAGCGGAAGTGTGAGAAGTGGAGCTGTGATGAGTTGTGATGAGCAGTGGAGCTGTGATGGGTGAGGTTTGAGAAGTGGAGCTGTGATGAGTTGGGATGTGATAAGGTGTCTCATCTGAGATGTGGTGTAGTGATGAGTGGTGAATGATGAGTGACATGTGATAAGTGGTGATTGAGCTGTGAGAATGGTAAGTGAGAAGTGATGAGTGGGATGTGATAAGTGGTGCGTGATGAGGGGTGAATGATAAGTGGCGACTGCCACGCGAAAGCAGCCGCGGCCACAGCGGCGGCCACGCGCGCCGCAGCTCGTCCAGAAGGCTCTGTGTACTGCGCCTGCCACGCGAAAGGCAGCCGCGGCCCCAGCGGCGGCCACGCGCGCCGCAGCTCGGCGGCCACGCGCGCCGCAGCTTGTCCAGGAGGCTCTGTGTACTGCGCCTGCCACGCGAAAGGCAGCCGCGCCACGCGCGCCGCAGCTCCTCCAGGAGGCTCTGCGTACTGAAGGCAGCCGCGGCCCCAGCGGCGGCCACGCGCGCCGCAGCTCGTCCAGGAGGCTCTGTGTACTGCGCCTGCCACGCGAAAGGCAGCCGCGCCACGCGCGCCGCAGCTCCTCCAGGAGGCTCTGCGTACTGAAGGCAGCCGCAGCCGCGGCCCCAGCGGCGGCCACGCGCGCCGCAGCTCGTCCAGGAGGCTCTGTGTACTGCGCCTGTGAGTGAGTGAATGGGTGAGTGAGTGAGTCAGTGAGTGAGTGAGGTGAGTTGAGTGAGTTGAGTTGAGTGAGTTGAGTTGAGTGAGGTGAGTGAGGTGAGTGAGGTGAGTGAGGTGAGTGAGGTGAGTGAGGTGAGCGAGGTGAGCGAGGTGAGTGGAGGTGAGTGGAGGTGAGTGGAG